TCGTCCAGACAATTCCGAAAAAAAAAAATTCCCGTCAAGCCACTCTCAAGAGAAGAGTTAACATACATTCGGCATTTCATATGTATTTATATAGATTAAAAAGTTTTATTTTAAAAAATAATTTACCAAAGTCTTGGTCGTTAGGTAAACCATCGGCAAACAATCCATCTTTCACCAAACTTTCTTGAAATTTCTTAAAACTCTGATTTGTCTCAACTATTTAATGATATGACAATCACCGCATCATTTATGAAAAAACAAATTTCATAAAAATAATATTAATTATTTACATTTATTCAGTGGCATCTGCTAGAAATTTTGGTAATCAATTATGTAATGGACTTTGTTTTTTAATTAAAAATAGTCGTTTGGCATACTTATAATTTATAAATATTAGCTCTCTAAATTACTTACTATATTGGTGTACAAAAACGTAATTCCCAAATCCAATATCATCTGCAAATATATCAAACGTTAATTACTCTCGTAGCAGATTGTATATAGGTAATGTACACAATCGTTATAAATTAGTTTACACTTATATGTTTTTTATCTAGTCGAATTTTTAAAATTTTGTCTGACAGTACATTTTTATAACATATTGGTATACTAAAAGTTTTTGTTATCCATAAATGTATACTTACATTTAAGTCCAAATTTTTTTAATGCTTCTGTTAGTCATTTTCCAACATAAAAATATAATATTAGCAAACATATAATTTATTCAAAATAATTATTTATGAAAATTATAATAAAAAAAAATAACTAAAGTTACTTCTAACTCTCGTTAATCTAATCACTACCACGGGGGTGCTTTTAGATATAACAGTAGTGTAAAATAAAAATTAAGTACCTATGCACCTGCCTGATAATAGTGAATAAATATTGAAATACATATTGGAACAAAATAAATCATGAAATTATAGTTGAAATATTGTATCTAAAAGTATTACAAGTACATAAATTTAAGTCACTTTATCATATTTATCTCTATGTCCCTAATATATATTATAAAAATACATTTTAAAATATATTATCTATATAATTTACTGATATGAAGTCAATTACTTTCGCATTCTAAAAAATAAAAAAAACTTCATTAAATAAATCATTGGTTAGGTATTTAAAATTGACGAATGTAGTTTATTGGATATTAAATAGGTACATATATTACATTATATTATACCATATATTTAAAATATCGGCATCTAAATGTTCATATGAAATAAAGCTTGAAATTATAGTTTAAATATTATTAAGATATATACCAAATTGTCAGGTAGGTACATACAATGAAGCCATCTTGTCATGGTTTCTAGTTATGATGTACAAATATACACTGTCAAATGTGTGTAACGAGACGTACGAACATATGTGTTGTTTTATTTTTGGTATAACACTTATATATTATAAACACGAGTATCACGTGATCCGAACAATAAAACTAAAACCAACGGACCACGGAGACAATCAGAAATAACAACAGATCGCGTTGCTGTGCATTGCCGTTTCAAACACCAAAGTGAAATAATTATTATTATTAAACTATAAAGTAGGTACTAGTGTAATTCATGATTTCAAGTTATTATGAATACAAGAACACAATATTACGGGTAAATAACTTTACCCGTAATATTAAGAACGAAAAAACAAGTATAAAATATGATCTGCTGTACAGTAGGTTACAAGTGGGTCACTGTATAACGGATGGTATTAAATTGGAATTCAATGATATAATATCATTGCATAAGAAAAATGATTCTGAGCGGAGACGGTATGTCAGTCTAGGTTTAAGACATATTATATACATTATCATTGGTAGGTAATAAAAAAAAATATTCAGTCATATCATTGAGCATACTTCTTATTCATTATACTATGGTAGATTGTATTAATAGGCCATAATATTTTGATATTTTGATTTTTCAGTTTCATATATCCCCGAATAATATTTTTCAATTGCAACAAAAAACCAAAATCGTTAATATTGATTTTAATATGTAATTTCGTCCACCTTGAACATCGAATGACTATACAAATAAACTGTGGTTGTGTATTTTTTAGATTTTTTGGTAACAGAATTAACTACTTACATGGGATTTTGTTTTAAATTTTCAATCCTTAGATATAAAAGTTGAACATTTTATATATTTTTAAATAAACAATAATTATTCAATTTTAAATTTGATAAATGTTGTCAAAATTCGACCTTTAAATGATTATAAAAAAAAATTCTGCTTAATGTATTTTTAATATTTTTCAACTGATATTGTATCAATATATCAGGAGCCTTGTATTAAATTTTTACACTTTTTGGCAAAACGGATAAAATGTTATTGATATTTATAGAAAAAAAAAAACTAAAAAAATTGTAAACAGCTCAAAAAGAGTCAAAATATTTTCAAAATTGTATGGTGTACAGGAAATGCTAATATACACATTGAGTGAAATTTTCATGTGTCTACAGTTTTTCGTTTTTGAATTACAACAAAATAAGAAAATCGCTATATGAGAAATCGAGTGAATATCCAATGTTGTAAAAATTTGAATTTCAAACGCTCATAAAAATTTAATTTTACTTTCTTACAGACATTTTTTTTTATAAATTTAGATAATCTTATAAAGAATGTTGTATTCAATTTTAAAATCTTAGATTTAAAAAGAAATATTTTTACGAATTCTTAACTTAAAATAATTTGCTTATTTTTGTGATTTTTAGGGTTCCGTAAGGTAAAACGGAAGCCTATTACTAAGGCACTGTCCGTCCGTCTGTCACCAGGCTGTATCTCATGAACCATGAAAGTTAGAAAGTTGAAATTTTCACAGATTATGTATTTCTGTGGATGCTATAATAACAAAGACTAAAAATACTTTTTTTTTTCGAGTTAATCAAGGGACGGAGGAGGAACCACGTTAGAATTACTTCTCCTCAATACTAAAAATCCTAGAATATATAATATAAGCAGTGTTGCCAACATAGCTGATGATGGTACGGAACCTTTTGTGAGCCAGTCGGACTCGCCCTTGGCCAGTTTTTAAATATTTTGTCAATTTTTGAGTTTTAAATGTTTATAAAAAAAAACTGTGACTAAGGATTTTTAATATTTTTCATCTGCCTTTGAAACAATATACTAAGAGCCTTCTATTTAAGCCTTCTATTCTAATTTCCAAGTATTTTTACTCGACAAATAACATTTTATTGATATTCATAAAAAAAAAAACTAATAAAATTGGAAACTGAATATGTCCCTAAACAGTTCAAAATAAATCAAAATATTTTTAAAATGTTATCGTGTATAGAAAATGTAAATATAAACAACCAGTGACAACTAGGGAAAATGTCAGAATATACTTTAATTTGTTTTAAAGTTACGCCGAAAACTAAATTCGATTTTGCGTAAAAATTCCCGTTTTCCTTAATTTTTCTTTTGTTTTTCTTATTGCTTTTGAAAATTACTGGGAATTTTAAATTTTGACCTCCCCAATGCACCAATGATATTCACTTTCCAATCGAACAAGATGCTAAGTTGAAAATCGAAGCATTATTTCGACTACTTATTGTGTACACAGACGCAAATAAAAAAAAAAATAAAAAAAAAGAACACACATCATTGTAAAATCAATACATTTACCGTTCCACTCACAATCTAAAATCTACATATTCGAAACATGGATACTGCGTGGAAGCTAAATGTGGTATGATTAGTAAATACAAACCAGAATTAAACCAGACTCTACGCGCTTTTTCTTTCCCCCTGAGTAGCTGACTATCAATGGATGTGATATCCATAGATCAAACGTGGTTTATAGGCACCAGCCAGGTTAGGTTAGGTTAGGTTAGGTTGCTACGCCAGTGGCGTGGTGAAGGGGGTCCAAAGGAGCGCCCGCTCCTCTAAATTTTGGGTGGGTGGGTAGGTGGGTGGGTATTACAATTGATCATTCACGTATATACTAGAAGTAATGATATACCTACTATAATATTAATAAACTAATAAGCAACAACATAGTTAATATGATTAATAAGCATGTTGTTAAATGTTAACACGTTTAAAATCGGTTATCAATATAGGTATTATTTTAATGTGTCCGTTTTACAATAAAATTATAGTTTAAACCTCGGTTACGCAAAAAGATGTCATCGCACTGCGTACTATTTGTTTTCTCTCTCTGGCAGTCTGGCCCACGGGCAACATAGACAAAACACAATTATTTTTTTCTATGTTTTTAGGTAATCTTAGAGGAAAATCATCCTATTACAAAAAAAGATAGAGAATAATATTTTTGAGGGAATAACATATTGATTTGTCTAAATATTGTCTCAAAACAATAAAAACATAATTTAAATTTACAACATTTTTGTTTATTTTGAAAGTCAAAAAACAATAAAATATAAAATCGATATGTCATTCCCTCAAAAATATTATTCTCTATGTTTTTTGTAATGGGTTATTTTACTCCAGATTATTTACTATCTTACTGATTTTACCGGCCGAATTCGGCGGTTTAACCTTGGTTTAAGTGTTTAACTATTGTAATACGGCTATACGGGCCCTGTATATATACGAATATAGAACATACAATAATTCGTGGTCATCATGGATTATGGTATACTGCACTCTAAGGTGTACGGCGTAAAATAATGTACTTATATAAAATTAATGCATCTAAATTAAGATACTGATAACTGAATAAGAGACAGAGCAATGTTCAATAATATCCAATATGACAATATATATAAACTGTATATCCATAATATATGATACCTATATAATATAATCTTAATAATAATGATAATAATCTATTTTTATAAATAGAAATAAAATCATGAAATGGTTTTTCCACTGACCCCACCAACTACCTACCAAATACCAATATTATTTAATATTTAATCGCCACAATGCGTCAGCGACTCGCTGCTATCGTTTACTTCTAAGTTTCTTACTATTTACTAATGTGATTTATGAGATTGTATTGTTTTTAATTAATATTAAATTAAAATAATGTCTACCAATATTTGTTTATGTGGTAAAAACAAATTAAGATTAAATGACACCAACTGGAAGAGACATTTAACTGCATGTAATATTGCAAAATTGAAAAAATCAAACATAGTCAACGATGTCTCTAGTTTTTTTTCTAAAAAACGTGTAAATGATGTAGACCATACACAGCGGCAGCAAATTAATTTGGTACCTTATTGTTCTAATTCTGGTAAGTAAATATTTTTTTCTAAATAGAACAGTTTACTAGTTCAATATAATAATATACAGGCCCCAGGGTGTAATAGATAGAACTGACTTTTGGAATAAATTTTGTTCTAAACAATATTTTATATATATTTTTTTAATTATTATTTATAACCCTAGCGCTACTTGTATAATTTATTAATTTTTTTTATTTTCAATAGTAAAAAATATAAATTATACATATAGTGCTTCGGTCTCTTTTTTATTTTTATGTTTTCTAATTTCAAAGCCATACAAAATCTTATTTTAACCACTGTCTTACTCACCAACTTATTTTATTGCTTACAATGTCAACGTTAATAAATTGTTGTGTTTTCAGTCCCAGGTTCTGATCATTTCTTGTATTATTAATCAAGAGCAATATTGCAATTGCAAGAGAACTAGCCTAGTAGCATGTTCTATTAAATTATAATTTTAATTAATAATAAAAAAAAAAAAAATAATGTTATATTATTAATTTATACCTAATAACAAATTGTTTTAGCTGCTGATACCAATACAGTTTGTAATATGGAACTTGATGGTAATTCTACTGCAGCTCAATATGATAAAGTTATTAATACAGAAACATCAATTACTGATTTAGTGTCAAGTAATTTCCAACATTTTCCCAATGATCCGGCATTAATATTACCAACAACTTCAAACGAAATTGTGAGAGAATCTGATGTTGTTTCAATCATAGAATCGAGTACTGGTAAAATTTAAAAATTTTAGTACCTAACTTAATTTATCCTGTTCTCTTGTATTATTAATCAAAAGAACTAGCATGCACAATTAAAGTATAATTTTAACTAAAAATTTATAATTTATAATAACAAATTGTTATAGATGCTGATACCAATACAGTTTGTAATATGGAACTTGATGGTAATTCTACTGCAGCTCAATATGATAAAGTTATTAATACAGAAACATCAATTACTGATTTAGTGTCAAGTAATTTCCAACGTTTTCCCAATGATCCAGCATTAATATTACCAACAACTTCAAACAAAATTGTGAGAGAATCTGATGTTGTTTCAATCATAGAATCGAGTACTGGTAAAATTTAAAAATTTTAGTACCTAACTTAATTTATCCTGTTCTCTTGTATTATTATTCAAAAGAACTAGCATGCACAATTAAAGTATAATTTTAACTAAAAAATTATAATTTATAATAACAAATTGTTATAGGTGCTGATACCAATACAGTTTGTAATATTGAACTTGATGGTAATTCTACTGCAGCTCAACATGATAAAGTTATTAATACAGAAACATCAATTACTGATTTAGTGTCAAGTAATTTCCAAAGTTTTCCCAATGATCCAGCATTAATATTACCAACAACTTCAAACGAATATTTCGCCTATTTAGCCAGCTTACACCCATGCCAGCCGTTACCAGCAGAACTAAAAAATCAAGAGTTTCCTAAACGAAAACAGGGTGAATGGATTAGATCATTTCACGAACAGCATTATGCTAAAAAAATTGCTTCTGGAGATTTTGTAGTAAGAAATTGGGTTTCTTATTCTCCTTCTCAAGATAAAGTTTATTGTATTGCTTGTAAACTTTTCGGAACAACTCATTCCAAGTCTAACCAACTTGCAAAATGTGGATCGAATGATTGGAGACATATTGCCTACAAACTTAAAGTGCACGAATGTTCAACAGATCACTTGCAGTCTGAAATTAGAAGAGCTATGTATATCAGTAATCAGAGAGTAAATATTACAACATTAGGACTTCCCAACTCTATTGTTGCAGAAAATAGAGAAATAGTAAAAATAATTTTTGATGTTTTAATTTACTTGGCTCGACAAAATTCTGCATTTCGAGGACATGATGAAAGCTGGAGCTCTAAAAACCAAGGTAATTTCTTAGAATTGTTAAAATTAATGTCAAAACATAATGCTTTACTTAAATCTCATTTGAGTAAAATAACAAATGCTTCAAAAAAAAACCGTATAACATTTCTCTCCAGCGACAGTCAAAATACAATGTTAAATGTACTTGGTGAAATAGTTCGATTAGAAATTTTAAAAAAGGTAAAAAAAGCTCGAGTGTTTTCTATTATAATAGACACAACTACCGATGTGGCTAACCTGGAACAGTTTTCACTTGTATTGCGTTTTGTTAATGATGATCATCAGCCTGAAGAACGCCTTATCGCAGTTAAAGTAGCAAGTGATGCGTCTGGAAAAGGTTTGTTTGATTTATTTTGTGAGATTTGTAATATTTACGAATTAGATTGGGAAAATAATTTATGTGCTCAGTCATATGATGGAGCTGCCTGTATGCAAGGGCAATATTCTGGAGTACGTTCATACATACAGGACAAAAATCCTCAAGCCATATATATTTGGTGCTTTTCTCACATACTAAATCTTGTAATTGTTGAAACATGTGATAAAAGCACAAGTATGAGAAACTTCTTTGGTGAATTGCAATCATTAATAAGTTATATGAGAGCAAGGAAACGTACTGCTATATTTAAAGAACAACAAATAAAAATTTATCCTGATCAAAGAGTCTGTCGCATTAAAAATTTTTCTACAACTCGATGGACTTCCCATGATCGAGCAATTTCTATTATTCACGATAAATATGAAGCACTATTGATGACTTTAGAAGAATTAACCAATTCACCAGATCGAGATTGCTCTTCAACAGCTAAAAATTTACATACCATCATATCTTCATTTACATTTGTCCTAAATCTTAAGTTAATGAAAAAAATATTTTTTTACACCACTCCATTATCAGTCTACCTTCAATCACCAGCAATTGATTTTATCCAGGCTTTAACTATGGTAGATAATGTGAGTAAACAAATTAAAAAGTTAAGGACAAATCATGAGGCTGAAAATTTATTGAATGAAGCCAAAACATTTGCAAGTGACAAGGGTCTTACTGAAAGCTGTTTGCCAGATGTACGTGTCCGACGTAGAAAAATAATGCCTGGTGAAGCACCAACAGAATATTTAATTGTAAATCCGTTAGACAAATTCAGAACAGAAGTTTATTTTGTTATTTTAGATCAAATTACAAATTCTATCTTTATGAGATTTGACGGGGCTCGAAATATATTAAAAGACTTTTCGATTCTTTCCTATGGCCGTCTTATGGCTACAAGTAATGGAGAACCTATTCCCAATGATTTATTTGAAACACTGGTGCAATGGATTCCAAATTTACAACTTGAAGAATTGAAAAATGAATATTTAATATTTGCTTCAAGTTTTAAAAATCTGCAATCCAATTTGAATCTTACATCATTATCCAATCCTGATAATGAAATAAGTATTACTGAAGAAAATACAGATACATGTGATTCTGATAGTAGTTCTAATAGTAATACATTAACAAAAATTGCTGAAAAAAATCTTACATCAATACAAATTTTAAAATTAATTAGCTCATACGGGTTATGTGCAGCATTCCCTAATTTGTTTGTTGCTTACAAGTATTTATGTACCATTCCAGCCACTTCTGTCTCAAGTGAACGATCATTCTCAAAGCTTAAGCTCATCAAAACTCGTTTACGCTCCACTATGCAGCAAAATCGTTTAGAAAGCTTACTTTTACTATCATGTGAGAGGGACATTTATATAGATCTGGAAGAGGCTATAAATAAATATGCATTTACTTCAAATGTTTTGAATAAATTATTATTATTTAAATAAATGTTGTGTAATAATAAACATAGTGTACCAACGTTAAATTGTTAAATTTTGTTTTTATTTTATATAATTTGTACACATATTTTTTGTATATTTGATAAGATATTGGGTGGTTACTGGGTCTGGGTGGGTGGGTACCTAGACTAAAATCTTTGCTCCTTGTGTTAAAATAGCTCGCCTCGCCACTGTGCTACGCTGCTGTAAGCTACGCTCCATCCTCCCATCCACTAGCTAACCTAATATTTGTGAAACGCATCCACGAGTGTGGCACTCGTAGGTGATATAGATGGTTAGCACTACCAAAACCCGAGCATCGATGAGCCAAACTACCAAAATTACTTTTGACTCTATGAGGCTTACTTTGTAGGGAATAATGCTGGGCAATAAACGCTGTTGGTGATTCATCACACACACACAGTCTTACTTGAGTTATATAGTCACAACAGGTCCGTAAAGTTAGCCACACAATGTAAAAATTTCGGCTCCAAATTCAAAGGGAAGACTTACAAATTATAAATTCATGCTTACAAAGACACAAATACTTACAAATTGCGCATGACGATTTGGAACAGTCAAAAACTTTGAAATGCCAAATCGGTAGTGAAAGTTTAGCCATGATTTAAACTTTTGAAGATAATAATTGAAAACGTCTGTACTTAAAAATTACCAAATTGTGTTTACATAAACTTACAAATGATTTACAAATTATTGACAAAATTTGGAGTCAAAATTTTGACATTGTGCGGCCAACTTAACGGACCTAGTCAGAACTTGTAAAAATCCATTGTAACGTTCCCAACACGTCTCGAGTAGAAGAGATGGAAGGTGTTGAAATATTTTACGATTCTTTGATATATTAGTGTTTATTGTTACGCAAAAATATAATAATTAATTTATATTGAAACTATTTTAAGTCTAATTCGACTTAAATAAATAATTGTTAGTGGATTTTAACAAGTTGAGACTACCATAACTCAGGACGTCATATATAAATTTGGAAACGTTTAGATTATCTATGGTTACTGGTAAGAGTCAGATTTTAAAGCCAATGCTTCTTTTTATATATATAAGATAGAAATCTAATTTTAAATATAAATTCGTTTCATGTAATTCTAATTCCAAACAAATGATTTTATTTTGGATTTTTTTTGTGCAAATGCTTTTTTATTGCTTTTCTTAGTTATTCTAGCTGTGGAATTTCAAGTGAGACTTTTCACTTACAACAATTTTTATATAATTAATAAGAAATGTGAAAACCCGGAATAAGGACTTCTTCTTCTTCTTGGGTTAATCGGCCGCTAGGACCATCCCGTCTCACAACCAATTCTCCAGGCATCTCTATTCATCGCCAAATCCTTCCAGTTTGCTCCGCTTCCTAAGTCTTCTATATCCCTCTTAACTAAATCTTCCCATCTCAATTTTGGTCTTCCCAAGGGCCTTTTTCCTACTGGATTCTGTTCTAGAACCATTCTTAGTAGAGAGTTCTGGCTTCGGATTGCATGTCCTGCCCACCGCAATCTTTTTTTCTTGATCGTCTCTGCTATGTTATTTTCATTAAAAATTTCTTGTAGCTCTATGTTTTTTCTTCTTCTCCACTCTCCTGTGATGTTATATTTTATTGGGCCGAATATCTTTCGTAATATTCTCCTTTCTAGTATTAAGAACTTATTCTCATCTGAATTCCTTAGTGCCCATGTTTCCGATCCGTACAATATCACTGGCCGTATTAGACTAGTATACAAACGTCTCTTTATCTTTCTTGATAATGATCTAGAACTTAATAGTTTCTCCAAACCATAATAATTCCTGTTTCCCGCTTGGATTCTCGCGGCTACTTCCTTGGTGATATCATTTTTTTCAGTCACAATTGAGCCAAGATATTTGAAAGAATTCACTCTCTTAAATTTAAAATGATCTACCTCCAAAACTTGATCCATCCAATTTTGTCTACCTATAATCATATATTCAGTTTTTTGTTCATTAATTTGTAGTCCTACTTTCTGTGCTGCGTCATTTAGTCTGCCACAGAGCCGTTTAACTCCATCTTGAGATTCGTCCATCAGTACTATATCATCGGCATATGCCAATAATGGAATAGTCGAGTTCCGGAGTTTTATTCCTTCGTGGGGTTCAATTTTCATTTCTCTTATTACTTTTTCCAATACCAGGTTGAAGAGAATAGGTGAGATTGAATCACCCTGTCTAAGGCCGGATTTTACTGTCACTGGATCAGACTTCACATTTCCGACTTTTATTTTGACCACGGTTTCCATGATGCTAATTGAAACTAGATTGACCAGCTTCTGGGGAAAATCGAACTCTTTTAGAATATTTATGAGACTTTCCCTATGAATACTGTCGTATGCTTTTTTGAAGTCAACGAATAGCGTATGTATCTCCCTATCGAATTCCCACGTTTTTTGATATAATTGTCTAATAATAAATATTTGGTCCGTCGTTGACTTCCCCGGTCTAAAACCACCTTGATATTCACCAATTGTCTGTTCTGTTCCGGAATAAGGACTAAATGGTTATATTGGATTATTATAGTTTTTGTTATTTACTTGATTGTATATATACTATAAATAAAGATTTTATTATAGATTATATTATTGCATATAGCCTGTAGAACCTACACTCGGTACTCGTATAACATCATTACCGACCAGATCAAAATTTAAGTTTTAAAGTGTTCTAATTTATAAAAATTCCAAAAGTTAAAACAAATGCATTTTTAAAAAAGTGAAATAAAGCTAATGCAGATAATGGAACTTCGGGTAAACTTTATCTTTTTCTTTTAAAAAACAAAGACTAAAAACAATTTATAACTGAACATTAATAATATAAGGTATGGCGCTATTTATCAAACGATATTAAATTGCATTTGTTTGATTTAAAAGAAACCTCTTGCATGAAGTAGGCACCGATCAATCAATCCAGTGCAATATGTAGAGCGTTCGTTTTATATGTATAAAATTATTCTGTCAGACAATAGTCAGTTTAACTACTGAAAATCTTGCCAAATACATGGTAGTGAATTATATTTTTAATTTAAATTAATATTTCAATTTTTTTTATAACTAATTCATGTTAATTTTTGGTAATGCTTTGTTTTTGCTTTTTTAAAAAATAAATATGCTTCACTTTTGCTTTTTAAAAACAATTTTACTATGCTTTAAATCCCTAGTTATTAGTTTTTGAGTTATACCAAAACAATAAAATCGATATATTAAAAAAATTATATTTTTCTTAATTTTTTTTCTCCAACACTGGAAAATTACTGTGAATTTCGATTTTTACCTAAGTGTAAAGAAATTGCTACAGACGCTCATAGAACCATTTTTATTATATTTAAATTAAACTTTTTTTTTTAGTTCCATTAACAGTTTTTTGACCAGGTGAACAAATTTTTATCAATATTAATTTTAAATAAACTAAAAATATAGAAATTTTTCATGCTCATAACTAGCTAAGAAATACAATTCAAAGAGTTCTATTGGACAATATCAGAATTGTTCAGTAGAACGTTTTAAGATTTAAAAAATTAAAAAATGTACTTCCTCAAGTGATTTTGAATGGTTTGGCGTCTTTCGCAATGTTCCATTCTATAAATTTAATCTTAAGTAATGCAAAGAAAATTCCTTTCAACTACTCAGAATGTAAAATAAATTTAAAATTCTTAGTTTGGAAACAAATGGTTGTAAAAATGAAACTTTTTTTCCCAATTTTATTTTTTAAAACAAATGCGTAAATCATTTTATAATAAGTACAACAGTATACAGTATTATAGAATAATATATTATTTTATTATAACATTAGAGTTATTTTGATTAAAATTATTATAATATCAAATTCATATTCAGTATAATTACAAGGTAATTGTTGTTATTTTACCTGTATGCTCTCCACAACTAGAGCGTATAACAATTATCGCAGTTAATATTATTATACATTTATATGAAATCATTGTTATGGTTAAGATAACTACAAAGAACAAGTATAAATTGTGCTAATCAATTTATATACGTATGTCAATAGATAGTGAACACAGAATTGATAGGTACTATAATATTATAAACACCAAAGAAGACAAGACCGCAAAATAGAAATGGCGTTTATGCATTATAACAGCTAAGTAAACATTTCATGTAATTCTTACATTAACAACTGTTCCAAAACATAAGGTAGTTAGCGTTACACAAATTATGGTGGGATAAAGTCAAAAGTACAAAATATATTGATGGCTAAACACAACATTTGGACTTCGATATTTTAGTCACTATATTTTAGAAAAATTATTTTTTGCTACCAAAGTTTTTAACATATCGTCTATCTTAATAAATAGTGGATATGTAAATGCAGTAAATTTACCGAAAATATTAACAACATTTTTTTAAAACTCAAAATGTTATGTGACACTTATTAAAATTATATTTATCTCTATATTATAATATATATAGTCTTCACGGTTACGCCTTAAATTAATTATATTTGATTCTAATTTATTAAATAGTTTTTCAGTTTTTGACTGCTGGCACTGTATTGTGATCAAGTAATGTGTATTAATTGTAATTCTTAAAAAAAAAAAAAAAACTTTTACAGAAAAATGATAAACGTTTAAACAGGAATGTTCCCCTCACGGTGCAACCAATCAACTGTAATTACTAATTATTCTAGGTAAAATAAAAATTATTAATTTGCAATAGTTGTTATGTGCTTGCATCCAATTTTCCTGTACCTTTATTTTAAATAATACAATTTTTCTGATAAATATATTTTATATTGTATATAGTTTATATTTTTACGTACATCAGTGTACTTTTATGAACATTTAGTCAGTTACTAACAAATTGTTGTACAAACAAAAATGTTGTGTTATATATTATTTTCTTTTTTTTTGTGAACCATTATTTTATTGAATTGTTTTTAAAAGTATATATTTTCAGTTTTAACAAAACCCCATTGATATGCAGAAGTTATCCAAGGATTTTACATTGTTAATTTATTTAGTACGAAATAATTTGTATCCAGTACCTAGGTATATTTTATATACCTACACATTATACTATATAATTTTTAATGTTAAATCAATATAATTAATTTCCATCCACTTAATTATTCGTTATCTGAATTTGATTTTAAATATCCAGAAGTAACGGATATAGTTGAACATTGTGAATGTCAATTGAAAAACGAGTATATTATTGTAGTATATTATTGACAATATCGCATCTTCGTTCGATGAATTTTCGTCTGATTGATTTAAATTATAAGAATAGACATCGCGTTTTATACTTTGAATAAAAAGTGTTGGACAGTTTAAGTTTATTTTTTGGCTTAGTATAGGAAATTAAGGCCCTTTGCTATCACCTTTTACTATCACCTTCTCCCATCTTTCTCTATCCTTTGCCAACTCTTCCGGATTCTCAACTCCTATTAGCCTTAGGTCTTGATTTACACGGTCACTCCATCGTTGTCTCGGTCGGCCGACGGGTCTCATTTTGTTTTTTATCCATGAAGTTATTTTATTTAATATTTTTCCTTCAGCACGCCAGACATGTCCTGTCCATCCGATTCTTTTGCTATTCATTACTGCTACTATATCCAGTTGGTTGTATAGTTCATATAAGTCATCATTAGTTATACACTCAAACTCATTGGTTTCCTCATTCTTTATAGGGCCAAATATTTGTCTTAGTACTTTAATTTTGTATATTGGTAGCTTTTTTTCATTTGTTTTTGTTGAGGGCCATACCTCACATGCTTACACAGCAATACGCCTGACAAGTACTTTATACATTGTTATTTTCGACTTTTTTGAGAGGTTTCTAGATTTAAAGAGTGGTCTTAGCATTCAAAAACATCTGTTAGCTGCAGTTATTCTTCTTTGTACTTCATTGTGTCCACCATTGGTTGTGTCGAGTCCTACTCAAAGGTATTTAAAAGTTTCTACTCTTTAAAATCTCATTTGTCCTACTACTTATTCTGTGTGGTTGTGAATTCTGCGTGATAATATCATGTATTTTGTCTTACTCTCATTGATTACTAATCCAATGTATTCACTTTCTTCTATTAGATCTGATGTTGTCATTTTTAGGTTTGCTTCCTTTTCAGCTACTATCATAATATCATCTGCATATGCCACAATTGTTACATCTGTGTTTTCCTGAATTTTACCTCTGTGTTGGATTCTATAACAGCTCTTACCACATATTCTAGTGCTATATTAAATAGCATAGGAGATTATGCATCACCTTGTGTTAAACCATTTTCTACACTGGATTCTTCCGACATTTGCTGATTGTATCTGATCGTACATTTTGAATTTGTAGTGCAGGTTTGTATTAATTTTACCAAATTTCAGCATCACAGCCCACAAGGATTCCCTGTTAATTAAGTCATAAGATTGTTTGTTGTCAATGAAAAGGAAAAATAAGTCTTGATCGAATTCGTAGCTTTTCTCCATTAGTTATTTTGCTATGTGAATTTAGTCCAATGTAGATTTTCCTTTTGTGAATTCTGCATGGTTCTCTTCTACTATATCTTTATATCCTCATAGAATTCACTTTTTTGGTCTTCATCATTATCTTCAGTAGGTCCATAACAGTTAATTATTATTATTTTTAGCCATCTACATTGTATTTCTACGTAGCAAATTCTATCATTGATGGCTTCAAATCTTTTAAAGTTTTGTAGTACTACCAACAAATGGGTCGATTAACCTATTACGGTATGTGCTGTGCTTCTTGAAAGTTAGTCTCCCAAAAATTCAAGAGCCTTCACAGCCAATAAAAAATTGTTTTGACAAATAATCATTCACTAACTGGACATTTTTTTAACCAACATACGTAGGTACAATACCATTTTTCAAATGACTTCGTTTGGCTAGAAAGAAATTAGAGAACACAATTTTATGCCAACTTTTAAAATGGAGGGACAAGTACGTATATCATCTTATAGGTAGCCCTTTACTACCATCATAACAAAATCCACAATACTTGCAGATATATTTCATTTCATAAGCAGTTCAGCAATCGGTCAAACAAAAAATTGATTTAATTAACAAACTACAGACCGCACTGAATAGCCACAATGTATACATACGAAGTTTTAAACAAAACTTAATAAAGAAAATAACTCTTCGTATAATTTCAAGGTAGTTATTCACTCCGACCGCTCACCGCAGACAGCACATCCGGGTAGATGTAATGCTCTAGCTGTAAACGAGGTAGCTATTCTCTTGGTTGACGAAAAAAAAGGTCCAAGAGATATAGTGCTGCACGGGTCTCGGAGTTACACCGATCGTACGATCCACTATAGTATCCTTTAATGCTCGTAAGGGACTTTCATTGGTTATGTTCTAGGGTAATATTGTCACCTTGGAATGATACTGTAAACGAAATAAACAATCTGATTATTCATTAAGTTCCCAGCCTAATAAAAAATTACAAATCGATCGACACTGTGACTAATATCGAAGACGAGGTCCATTTTCCACAGGAATTTTTAAATTCACTATACTTTTCTGGACTGCCACCGCATGAATTGACATTAAAAATCGGAGTTACAATCATGCTTTTGAGAAATTTAAGCCCTCCGACTGATTATTAAGGAATTAACGGACAATTTAACTGTAGCGATCATTATCACCGGCCCAGTTGCTGGATAACTAGGTCATATACCGAGGATACCAATTATCCCAACTGATCTGCCAATCGAATTTAAATTCACGTTAACTTGTAACGAGACAAAACCGAACGCCCCGTTCCCGTGGCGCACTCTCGTCAGTCGTCACTAGTAGTCACTGATCGCGTACCGACTACCGCGACGCGCTCTCGCGCAGTAATCTGCAGACGTCATTACCGCGGAACACGAAAACAACCGTTCACGACGCGCAATAGAACGTGTGAAAGAACAAACTTCCTTTTCGCCGGCACTCCACCGAGTTAAGAAAATCATTTCACAACGAAACCCGTCAACTTAAACCCTTTGGGATATACCATTGGAATCCGCGCATCATAAACTATGTAAAGCATATTTTTTATGGGTTTTAAGTTAAACATAAAGCATTTTAATCTACAAAAACCTTTCATGTGTTTTACGCATTACGTAAAGGGCATGGGTACTATAAGTACCACCCAGGAACACAGCAAAATCGACAGTCTCCCCGCTGAGTGCGGTATATTGGCGAGCCGGACAAGAGTAACTCCTCGTTATACACGGACACCAATTACCAAACATCAAACAGCATTGGCCCCAGACTGAGTAAGCCGGACGAGAGTAAAATCCTCGTTATACACGGATACTCATATAGTCTGTCCCGGCATTCCCTTTCCGCCACGAACGACCGTGCGCCGTGAAAGTACGTGTTGCCGCTCGGTATTTTACGTATACACTGTGTGAGGCGATCAACACCAGGCGCCGCAGTAGTCACTTCGTCATCCGAGGACACACCATCAATCATCACCGGGAAGCTATACGAGTCAGTCGCCATCCGGGATCAGTTCAGTACAGTTGTTCACAGCCACGCCGCCATCAAGAGCAGACCCAATCGCTATCAGTCAATGTTTAGCCGTATACGCCGGTAAGTCACTTTCAAGTTTCAAGTGTTACCGGGCCTATACGCGCAGCTTTGTGTAAGTACGCCGCTCTACTTCAACCTCTACTTAAACTTTCACCTCTACCGAACAAAACCGTGAGTTCAATGTTCACATTCCCACCCCTTTATGTAACCCCAGTAAATATTTTTATTGTACACTCTAAATAATTTATATAAAAAGAAAATAATGTTATACAAAACATCTTAATTGTATCAAATTCAGATAATGAGCATATTGGTTCAAAATATTATATATCAATAAAAACAATTTATTACCAACCAATGCGTTTCATTACAAACTATAGACAAGACCCAAAGTCAAACCTTCGAATTAGTAGGGACGACCTACGAAAAGAATTTTTTACTCATCGCCAACTTTAAATTTGCCTACCGCGGGCGGGGAGCTCCTGAAAATCAATTTATTTTGCTACCACAAAATAAAACAACATCAAACATCGTTTACAGGGAAGTTCTATCTCAATAAATGTAATGGTTTTTATTTTGTAGTTAGGATCTTAAGAAACTCATTGAAATAATAATATCAAAACTTTCTTTATAATGTCCTCTTATTTTAGTAACCTGACGGTGTAACCCTAACAATTGTGTATGTGTTAAAATTATAATTTTTGAAATTGTTGTTAAATCTACATATATTCTACATCTACAAATATTATAATCTACACTGTAGCGACATTTAATATTGTAAATATTAATACATAAATTAGTAATGAAATAAGAAATTTGTTGGTAAAATGTTCTAATTGTTTCAAATATATTGCAATAGCCTTGCCGGGTCAGCTGTCTTATACCTATATGAAAATCCAGTTCACGATGTTTGTCTGACAAACAAAACGAAAAAGTTGATACTATAGATTTAAATCATGCACTTACGTACAAACAGCATGGGGTCCTCGATCTACCGCAGATAGAATGCCTACCTGATAATATTATACTGCTGCGAATCAGAATTTTTACACCGGGCAACGAAAAAGTTAAGATACGTTTTGAACGCCATCTATCAAATATTAAATAACAAATTGATCAAAGTTTGGGTAATATAACTATTACCTTACTTTAGTACATTAAACGAGCTACAAAGTGCACGGGGTCAGCTAGTTTATAATATAACAAGTTATATACAAAATTAAAATAGGGTAGATTTTATATACTACAATTTTTTTTTTTTAATTATGAATAATTTTCGTCAAATATTATTTATACTCACATAAGTAATCACTCAAATATGTGTACCTACTGTAAATATACCTAACATATTATTGTAAGTGGGGCTCGGTGAGGTGCTGTGGCTGAAATCATTCACGCTACATGATTGAAGGACGCCACACACTGCAGCGGTGGTGGTAAAATTCTTTTGTCTTGGCTGGGCTTGCTCACAGCAATTGTGTCCGGACTCATATTTCCGTAACCGCTACCGCCATCGCTACCGCCACCGCCAACCACCACCGCTGCAGTGAGTGGGGACCTTTAGAGTAAGCAACGGCTGATACCAATAGTTCTCGGATGGGTGACCACCAGGGTTTGTAGTGCTCAAAAACCTTGCCACACATAGGTATATGTGTTCCAAATCAGCCGTACCAACCATCCCAACTCTACGGAAATAACCTTACTGTTGGTTGGTAAGGTTAATTACCTCAGTCGTCGAAGCCCTAAACTTAAAAAAAAAATTATAATTATGCTCCAGGTAGTATGATAGTAGGTACTAGGTAGTAGAAATAAAACCTTCGAAGGGTCTATGAGTCCATTGAAAATCTGGTAAATCAATCAAAACACACCTGCCATTGAGTAATCATTTTTTAATAATATAAGGTCATGCAAACATAGGTACATATATTATTTAAATTACAATTACCTAACTTAAGTAATAATAGTACTAGGTAGGTATTATTTAGTAACTATTTAAATCCGCTTGAGAGACACTTGTACGAAAATTTTAAATTATACATTTATATAATATATAATTGGCGTGTTTGATTTGCGTCCTTAAATTATATTTGGTCCGAGTTAAGTCTGTGGTTTTGTCACAACATGTTTCAGTTGCATCTGCTATTTTATATTTGTGGTAGTCAATGTAGTAACATCTCTTTCACGCCACTTTCGACGTAGAATTTTGCATTATAAAATTTTATGTTCAGGTGGGTTTCCACTATACACATATAGAAATATATATAAACATATATAATATAATATAAATATATATATAAATACTTTTCTGTGATTGGTTGGTATAAATGGTAAGCTTTAGGTATACCAGAATATTTATACGTTCTTACCACATAATATTATTACCATGATACCATGGAGTTGGATTTAGTCAAACTATTTCGTGTACACGGTTCTATATTGATAGATGTTCTATATAAGGTAACTATAATGTTACCAATCGTAACCGATCTAATTCACGTTAACCGATGGGAAACGTTTGGGAGACCTTTCATAGCGAACGGATCCGGTCAATAAATGCACGTACACGTACATGTAGTGGAAACCCATCTTTTACTGATAAATCGTTACCGTAACCAGTAACCGATAACAAGGAATAAAAATAGGTTAAAATAACGTTAACCAACATAAGGTTCTTAAAATTGAAGGTATACATTATTTATTTATTTTGAATTTGGAACTTTAGTGTCTGAGCATAGACAGTTGTCCGGGGACACAATTATACACATAATTATTATTACCCATTCTAACCCATTAGCCACCCGGTTCTTGTATTCCAATAGCGGTAAACGGTCACTTTGTACGGTCCATTGTTCAAAATGTACAACGCGGACACTTTGTACGGTCGGGTAAAATGGTACATTGCAGAACGCGGACACTTCGTACGGTCGGGTAAAAAGGTACATTGCAGAACGCGGACACTTTGTACTATTATATACATAAAGTATATATATTATAAATATAAGTTATATACCTAAGTTAGCAAGTAAATAATTATTCTAAAATTGATTTATTAAACCCTTAATATTAAATAATTATGTATGTGCACTTTTTATCTAAGCTTGATACCATTTTGACATATTTTCATATTATTATACTATACAGTATACAATATTATGTAGTTTTTTAAAATTTTTGTCAATATTATACTTTACTTGTCATTTGAGATATTTTCATATTATAGGTACTATGCATTTAATTTTTATTGATTTTTTTTTCATTATTATATTTTATTTGTCATTATGACATATTTATATTGTACACATTTTTAATTTGCTTTAAACTGATGTCTAATATTATAATACAATTAAGATTTATAATAATATTATTGATTGTTTGATTATTTTGATCATTATTAATATACGATGAAACAATTTACTTTTTATTTTTAATTTTTATATTTTAATAATTTACATTATAATTTATAATATTATATATACTTACTACTTAGGTATATAACTTATATTTATAATATATATACTTTACGTATATAATAGTACAAAGTGTCCGCGTTCTGCAATGTAAATTTTTACCCGACCGTACAAAGTGTCCGCGTTCTGCAATGTACCTTTTTACCCGACCGTACAAAGTGACCTAGAACCTCCAATAGCCAACATACATATGTTCCTAAAAATTATAAACAATGGGGGCCCATTGAAAATTCCTGAGGACGCCACTACTGTGACACATAATATTATAATATTATAAACAATATGAATAATTTGAAATTAGTACTCACAGACCGATTGCAGTGAGTATATTAAAGTATATTATAGCCAGATAATAATATTCTTAAGAGATACCATTTTAGTTCCCATATGCCAATTATAAATAACATCATACCAAATGTGAAGATTCCGTCTATTGAAAATTAAATTAAGTACCTATCTAAATGATATTGGATTTCATTACTATATATACATCCGTGAAATACATGTATGACCAATAAGTTAACTACTTGTGTGTAGATCATAATATTCTTATATATTATATTATGTTGTTGGAAATCAAAAATTGTTATTATTATTAGTATTATTATATTCTATTACTGTACTATTATTGTATTACTGTATTAATTTTCACTTCATCCGAGTGTAGTATAATACAACACTAACATTAAATTATTAGGATGTTTTTTTGCATTTATATGAGAGATATTGTTTGCAGCGAGCTGAGGTTAATAATCCATTAATGATACATTCGTTTATGCGTTTATTAATAATTTGTAATAAATACGTTGCAAGAGATAGTAAAAATCCATTAAGACAGGTTGAGCGTGGGCCACAAACATTTCCAAAATATTGTGTGGACACCGCATCCGTGGGAACGGGGTGGTACACTTATCGATAGGCTGGGGGAGAGTTGTCAGTACTATAATATAGATAACCCCAAAACGGACTGTATTCAGACGTGTTATAACAGAGCTGTAACGAGCACATATCCACGACAGCCAGTTTAATAAAATAATAATTTGGACTTAAATACATCGAACAGAATTAATCTGGACTTGGAAAAATATACGATTATTTTTCTGAACACTTAGGAGTTAGGATTATTCTGTATGAACTAATCAACGGTCGTAGTCATACCAATTCATAAGTGATTAACTGAATAATAAAATGATAACATCTACAATAATTCATATAAGACTACAGTTTATTGCACCTGAATTCGTCTTATTTTCCATCGTACTTCACCTGTACGCGAGTTGGCTAACAACAATTTAATGTGGTCCACAGATACAAAACATATCGATCTAAACACGTATGGAACCATTTTTTTTTTACTGATTTATACATGTAAAGAAATAAAACATAAACAACGAACCATATTATGGATATCGCACCAATTTATAAGTATGCTTAAAATAAAAACAATCGAGGATCGTATAGGGAAGATACAGGTGCTAAATTTTTAAATGGTATAGTCTCTGG